TTCCATTCTGTTCTATTGATCTTTTTGTCTCTTCTTTCGCTAAACCACACTGTCTTCATTACTGTAGCTTTATAGTAAGTCTTGACATTGAATAGTGTCTTTCCTTCAAATTTGTTCTCCTTCAGTCTCGTGTTGGCTATTGTGGGTCTTCTGCCTCTCTATATAAACTGTAGAATCAGTGTGTTTATATCCACAAAATAACTTGTTGGTATTTTGATTGGGATTGCACTGAATCAATAGATCAAATTGGGAAGAACTGACATGATGACAATATCGAGTTGTCTTATCCGTGAGCATACAATATCTCATTATTTAGTCCTTTGATTTTGTTTTTCAGTGTTTTGTAATTTTCCTCATAGATCTTGTAGATATTTTGTTAGATTTATGCCTAATATTTCATTATTTGGGGTGCTGATGTAAATGGTTTTGTGTTTTTAATTTCAAATTCCACTTATTCATTGCTGGTATATGGGAAAGCAGTTGGTTTTTGTATATTAGCTTTGTGTTCTGAAAACTTGTTGTAATCAACGTTTGCAGCCCTATCTTTCCATTGTTTGGTCTCATTCTAGCTATTCTTGCTGTTTGAGATGCCCTGAGTATGGCCTTGGACTTGTAGGGTTCTGTGCTTCTGCTTACAGGTTACCCTGCCTGTAGCGCCCTTGCCTATTGTCTCTGCCTGTTGAAACCTTACCCATCGATCTAGAACCCAAGCTGTCTGAAATTCTAGGGGATGTTTTCCCAACACCCCTCCACAGAATTGCCTCTTTCCTCTGGGTCCTGGTGACACGTTGGCTCCTATCTTGAGTCCAGTACCTTTAATGCACTGGCCTGTACTGGAGCAGCTTGTTTACTGCTCATTCTCTTCCTCTGCAGGCTGCGAACTCCCAATGGCAAGGATGGGGACTTATTCATCAGCCACTGAGGGCCCAGGATAGACAGCACTATTCATGTGTTTAGGAACTCGGCCATGGGTAGTTGAATACAGTTGATCATGCTGAGCTTCCATGAAGCCAGGCCACTGGGAGTCAGCCGTAGGGACCTCCCTGTCTTAAGTTGTTTGGGAAACCTTGGAGTGTCACAGAACAGAATTCATTACTGGCATTTCTTTGTGGTCTACATCGCCTGTCACTCAGTGGGGCAGGGAAATTAAATTCATGCAGCAAGGCCGGCCTTTAACTCACAAGGCCCTGTTGATTGTTGTCACCACTGGACAGCTTTCTGCGAGTATCCAGTCTCTGCTCAGGCCCTAGATGGGAGACAGGCTAGAGGAGACTGATGATGTTTTTTTTTAAAACCACAGATGTGTGGCTTCCGCTTTCTAACCCTTGGCACTTGCTGGCTTCAGGGTCTTAAGTGATGCCCTGAGGCTGGCTCTTCAGTGCCTGTCAGACCCCAGGATCTGTCCTTTGTCCTTGCTGAGCTGGATACAGTCTCTCTCCCGGGGCTCTGTCACCATTCTGTCCTGCTGTTTCCTCTTGATGAGGTATTATGCTTCTCTGATCAAAAGCTGCTAGTTTCCAGAAGGCTGATTGTGTTTTTTTTAGGAGTTGGTTTGGAGGACAATTTATTTTAGGCCTGTTAAATTTGATTGGACTTCACCTTCATTGTTATGTATCCTTAGCAGCCTAAGATGTGTTTTGAAAAAAACAGTTCAATCTATTTTGTGACAACTGGTGTGACTAATTAATGCTCCTCAGTACACCACCGTGAAGCTTGCAAGGCACCACACAAATGCCAAATCATAACACGTGTCCTGTTTGAAACTGTCTTAGCAAATTGAACATCTGTATTACAGTAATATACTGTATTAGTGAATGAAACATCTTTTATTGATTCACCTTGTTAAGCAGGAAAATAATACTTATGGCTTTATAAACCTCCTGTAAGTTCTAGTAGGTGCCATTTTGAACATGAATTTAATCGAATAAATGAGTGCAGGTGTCAAGCATTTAATTGGCCCTTCTCTCTCAGCCAGCTCAATCAATTTTGGAACTATTGTTGATGATGTAATTCACCGATGATAGGAAAATGACATAGTGAATTAGATGCTATTGGTCTTTGGGGAGGAGGGGTTGGTTGGGCAGAGTTAATACTTAATAACTGACTAATGTCATCGTAACCTGGGCTTTCCAGAGTTTTCTTTCTTTCTTTTCTTTTCTTTCAAGATTTTATTTATTTATTCATGAGATACACAGATAGAGAGAGGCAGATATACAGGAAGAAGGAGAAGCAGGCTCTATGCAGGAAGCCTGATGTGGGACTCAATCCCGGGACTCCCAAGATCATGACCTGAGTCAAAGGCAGACGCTCAATCACTCAGCCACCCAGGTGCCCCTTCCCATAGTTTTCTACTAGAGTTCCTCAAAGAGCAGACAGAAATTGGGAAGAAAGTGGTAGTAAGCTTAACCTGATTGGCCCACAAAATTGGTGTCAAAATATTGAGCCTAATATTAATGTTCAAATGACTTTTGTTTTCTATTCCATGTTATTTTCCTACACATCTTCAGCTAAAAAGATTTGACTGGGAAGGTGCCTCTTTTTTTTGTATGGTTTCTGGACCCGTCAGGCTCAGACGCCTGGCTGGAGAAGCTGGTATAAAAATGGCAATTTTATAAAAGATACCAGAGGAGAAACTGTGGTACATCCAGACAATGGAATATTATTCAGTGCTAAAAAGATTTTTGAGATCTCTAGCCATGAAAAGATAAGGGGGAAACTTAAAGGCATATTACCAAGTGAAAGGAGCCAATCTGGAAAGGGCTACATACTGTATGATTCCAATTAAGTGACTACTGGAAAAGGCAAAAATAGAGAGAGACACACACAAAAGTATAGAAACAGTAAAAAAAAAAAAATCAGTAGTTGCCAAGGGTGGAATGGGGGTGGGAGGAAGGTGTTAATAGATGGAGACCAGAGAATTTTTAGGGCAGTGAGAATACTCTGTATGATACCATAATAATAGATGCATGTCATTACACATTTGTGCAAACCCATACAATGTATAACAAGAGTGAACCCTAGTGTAAATTATGGGCTCTGGTGACTATGATGTATCATTGTAGGTTCGTCACTTGTTCAAACATTCCCACTCGGTGCAGATGTTGACAGTGGGGGACACTATACATATGTGTGGGCAATGGGAGGTCTCTGTACCTTCCTCTCAATTTTGCTGCAAACCTAAACTTGCTGTAAAAAATGATCTTAATTTAAAAAAACAAAACAAAACAGAAAACAACCAAAGTAACTTTGGTTAATCAAGGAAAGGAGGGTTGTCCAGCTGAGAGGCAAGAGACAGAGGCCATGATTAGATTTGCCTTTGGAGTGGCCACTCAGTAGGGATGGATCAGGAGGGGAGACTGAGGCAGAGGACCAGGTGAGCACTGTCACAGTCTTCTGTGGATGGTGGCCTGGACCCTGCTGGCATGTGGAGCTGGGGAGTCCATTATGAGGCAGCAGGTGGAATTAATTGATTTGGTGGCAGTGGTAGGGAGGAGGGAGAACTGACATTTGTCAGCTGTCACCAAGCACGTTTGACACACTGGGCCCTGTGGTGGGTGTTTCACACCCAGTCCTCATCAGAACTTGTCAGCCATCTCAGGTGGTAGGTTTGGACAACTCTGATGAGGAGTTGTAGAGGTCATCTCTACAATAGGATAGAATCCATAGGCCTTGGGGACTATCTAGAGTGGGGTGGGGCAAGAGTTGGGGGAGAAGAGATGTCTCTTCTTTCTCCTGCAGAATCAGCCCTGGAGCTTCCTTATTCAAAGGCATCCCTACCACCCCTGCATGATTTGCCCCATTTCCTAACAACTGACTCATTTCTGGCTTCTGCGAGAGAGCACTGCACTTGGGAGTCCAGTGGCCCTAGCTGGCTGCCTTCAAGCTACTTTACCTCTCAGAGTGTTGGTGTCCTCCTCAGAAAAACGCAGGTGACAGTTTCACTGTGAGAAGGGAAAAAAGAAGTCAGTGCCAGGCCCAGGGCTGAGGGCGATAAGAAGATTCTGTGCTCGAGGGGCGAGCTGGGTGGTTCAGTCAGTTTAACATCTGCCTTCAGTTCATTTTATGATCTCAGGGTCCTGGGATGGAGCCCCGTATCAGGCTCCCAGATCAGCGGGGAGTCTGCTTCTCTCTCTCCCTCTGCCTCTCCCCCTGCTTATGCTTGTTCTCTCTCTCAAATAAAATCTTAAAAAAAAAGAAAAAAGAAAAAAGAAGGGACACCTGGGTGGCTCAGCGGCTGAGCATCTGCCTTCAGCCCAGGGCGTGATCCCTGAGTGCCAGGATCAAGTCCTACATCGGGCTCCCTGCATGGAGCTTCCTTCTCCCTCTGCCTATATCTCTGCCTCTCTCTCTGTGTCTCTCATTTATAAATAAATAAAATATTAAAAAAAAGAAGAAGAAGAAGAGTACTTGGGTGGCTCGGCAGGTTAAGCATCTGCCTTCAGCTCAAGTCGTGATCCTGGGGTCCTGGGAACAAGCTCTGCATCGTTGGGCTCCCTGTTCCATGGAGGGTCTACTTCTCCCTCTCCCTCTTGATACCCCTGCTTGTACTCTCTCTGTCAAATAAATAAATAAAATCTTTTAAAAAAAAGATTCTGTGCTCAATGCCCTTTGATAATGTTGGATTGACTAAATGGGGAGTTCTGAGTTGTGGCACATAATTGGGTTTCTTGAGAAAACAATGTAATTTTTTTCCATCAAATTTGTCAGTGTTGGTGTGTAGCATTTTTTGCCCAATAGCATCAGGACACACACATCTTGTTCTGGAGGTGGCCACGGGCCACCTGTGAAGACTTCTGTGAAGTCCCCTTCAGGTCAGAGTGGCCACTCTGTCCTGGTCTGTGCTGACAAAGAACTAAGCTCTAGCAATACCACCTGCTTCACCAACACAGACTTGTGTCGTTTGCACCTTCGCAGTGAGTGGTTGCATGCTTTTGAAATCGCCCCTCTGGTGGCCGGGCGGCTGCTGGCACATCATCATTTTCTCTTGGCTTTCTCTTCAGTGGTGGCTGTTTACATAAAGGAGTTCTGGTGGCCCACCGAAGATGTGCTAAGAACCTCTGATCCTGCAAGAGAAGGTCTGATGAAGGTGAGATGGTGAAAATTTATATAGATATTGCAAAACAGGTTTTAAAGTCACTAAGCTTATTAGCATGTTACTAATTGAAAGTAGCCTGCTCGGGTGGATTAGTTTTCTAGTGCTGCTCTAACAGAGTTTCACAGACCACCGGGGTTGGGGGTTGGGGGGCTGAAACAACAGAAATGTATTGAGAAATACATGAGACTGTACTGTCTCACAGTCCCTGAGACTATAAGCGTGGAATCAGTGTTCTTTCTGAGGGTCATGAGGGACAATCTGTCCCCGGCCTCTCTTTTGGCTGCTGCTGGCCTCAGGCATTCCTTGACCTGTAGATGGCCTTTTTCCTGTGTCTTCACATCATCTTCCCTCGGTGTGGGTATGGGTCTGTCTCTGTCCAGATCCCCCCTTTCTTTCTTTTTTAAAGATTTTATTTATTTATTCATGAGAGACACAGAGATATGCAGAGACACAGGCAGAGGGAGAAGCAAGCTCCCTGTGGGGAGCCTGATGCAGGGCTCAGATCCCTGGGATCATGCCCTGAGCCAAAGGCTAACATTCAACCACTGAACCACCCAGGTGGCTCCAGATTCCCCTTTCTATATGGACACCAATCATATTATTAGGGACCACCCTAATGACCTCATTTTCACTTGATCATCTGCAGAGACTCTTATTTCTAAATAAGTCACATTCACAGGTACTGGGTGTTAGGATTTCCAACATCTTTCTGGGGGACCCGATTCAATCTAGAATGCCCTGCCAGGAAGGAAAATAGTAATAAATGGCCCTATGGAACAGACATCTGGCTATTTGCAGATCTCTCTTACTCTCCTGAGGGTCCTCTCTTGTTTTAGTTTTATTTTATTTTATAAAGACTTTATTTAATCATGAGAGACACACAGAAAGGCAGAGACGTAGGCAGAGGGAGAAGCAGGCTCCACACAGGGAGCCCGATGTGGGACTCAATCCCAGGACTCTAGGATCACGCCCTGAGCCAAAGGCAGACGCTTAATCCCTGAGCCACCCAGGCATCCCTCTTGTCTTAGTTTTAAAATTTAAATCCCCATCATCTCTCTAGCGGGTAGGAAGAAAGATTCTGCTTATTATGTTCAAGTAATGTTTATTGGTACTTACTCTGAGTCAGACAGTATGTTAGGTACTCGCCTATGTCCTCAGACTCTTTACAGGGATTGTCTGCTTTTAGAATCCTCAAGGTATTTCTTTTGCAGATGAAGAAATTGAGGCTGAGCCACACAGTTAGTGAGTGACTTAACTGGACACAAATTCCAGTTTCTTTGACATCAGGCCTGGAGGTTTTTGATGCACTGTGGCTTCATAGAACAGTTCTAAAGCCAAAACCTAGGAGGATGGCAGGGGTGAGGGCAAGTGCCACAGCAGCTCCTCAGAGTCCCTGTGGTGTCTTCTCCTTTGCCGTTTGGCTAGGGCAGAGGCTGAGGAGAAAGGTAATAACTTGTGAAGAATTTAGACTATTTACATCATGTCTGCCCATTTTTATTTGATTGGCATATTTATCTTAATTCTATAGAATTGGAGTTCTTGGCAATTTTAAAATGGTGGCTCTGTCCACAGTTGTCTGGAATTCCACTTGATCTTCCTCACTGGGACCTGTAAATACTGAATGAAATATCAATATTCTTTTGGGTTTGGTTTAGAGAATGAATTCATAACTTGGGTTTTTCCCCTGTATCAAACAATTAAAAAAAACAAATTCTGTTCTGTTTTTTTCCTTCACACAACAAGTTCATTGAAATCTAATACACATGCTGTCAATTTCATCCTTTCAAAGTATACAATTTGGTGATTTTCAGAATTTGCAGAGTTGTGCATCAGTCACCACTATTGAATTCTAGAGTGTTTTCAGCATCCCCAAAAGAAACCCCTTACCTATCAGCAGTCACCTCTCATTTCTCTCTTTCTCCAGACCCTCACAAGGAATCTACTCTCTGTCTCTATGCATTTGTCTATCCTGGACATTTCTCATTCCCAGAATCAGATAATATGTAGTCTTTTGTGTCCAGCTTCTCTCGCTGAGCATGTCTTTAAGGATCATCCACATTGTAGTGTGTCAGAATTCCATTGCTTTTTAGGGTTGGATAGTATCCCACTGCATGGTTAGAGCATGTGTGTTTATCCGTGCATCTGTTAGTGGAATAATGTCACCATGAACACCTGTGTGGTTTTTTTGTGTTTTGTTGTTTTAAAGATATTTATTTATTTATTCATGAGAGACAGAGAGAGAGGCAGAGACATAGGCAGAAGGAGAAGCAGGCTCCATGCAGGGAGCCCGATGTGGGACTTGATCCCGGGACTCCAGGATCATACCCTGAGCCAAAGGCAGATGCTCAACTGCTGAGCACCCAGGCGTCTTTCACCATGAACATCTGTGTACAAGTTTTTGTGAGTAAACGTATTTTCAATTCTGTTGGGTACATACCCAGGAGTAGAATTACAAGTCATAATGGTAATTCACTATATAACTTGTTGAGAAACCGCCAAACTGTTTTCCACAGCAGGCATACCATTTAACACCCCACTAGTAACATCTGAGGGCTTCCATCTCTCCATGTCCTCTCTGATACTTATTATCGTCTTTTTTTTTTAAAGAATAAAATAAGATTTAATTTTAAACAAATTCTAGGTCACAGGTGAAATCTACTGGTAAAGGATAGTTCATTAAGGTATTTAGGATATTCCAAATACTTGCTTTTTAGGTATAATAGCAGGTTCTGAAGGGGAGGCCTCCATGGTTATCTGGTTGTTACCTGGTTTGCTGAAATCCCCTAAAGCAAGAAAGGATGGAGAACTGGAGGTACTAGAATATCTCCCCAACCAACTGCCCTCCAAAAGGGAATCAATCTACAAATGAGCTAGTTATTGACAACGACATACTGTTCTTAAAGTATGTTAAAAACAAGTCTGACTAGTGATTATGAGAATGGAGATGTTTAAACATTTGATATATTATAAGACAAGACTTTATTGCTCAGCAATTACAAGTATTCAAACATGTATTTTTCTACATAACTTACTGTGAGATGATCAATGTTAAATAAAATACTAATTTTCATCATCTGTTTCAACTTATGTCTTGTTGACCAATTCTTCATTTTTCCTTCCAATTGCATGCCTTTGAGTCAATGAAGAATTTTAACCACAATAGTTGTGGATGAGAATATTCATCTGCAGCTACCTGTATGCTCATTGCATGCAGATGTGCTCCTAGTGGTTTTGTCAGAGCCATCCTCTGAGCGGTTTCTGGAAAACATCAGGACAATCTTCATTCATCTTCACTTCATAGACTCTGTTGCACCTCGAAGAGCCCGGCGACTGGCCCACAGACACTACCACCTGGCCTGCTTGGCCGAGGTGCTTCAATCCATCGCTGGCCTCATGGAAAGCTGTCTTTTTTTTTTTTTTTTTTTTTTAATGCTATCCATCCACTGGAGGGGAGAAGTGCTATCTCTTGTAGTCCTGAGCTGCATTTCTCTGATGGCTAAGGGTGTTAAGCATTTTTTCATGTATTTATTGGCCATTTGTATGTCCCCTTTGGGAAAATACCTGTTAAAATCCTTGGCCTTCTTTTTGATTGGGTTATTTGACTGCTGAGCTGTAAAAATTTTTCATATATTCTGGATGCCAGTCCTTATTGTGTACATTGCATATCTGATTTGCAAATACTGTTTTCCCATCTGGGGGTTTTCATACCTGTTCCCTGTCCCCAGCTTAATGAGATATATCTGACATAAATATTGTGTAAATTTATGTTATACATTGGTCTGATACACTTACATGTTGCAAAATGATTGCCGCCTTGGTGTCGGCTAACACCTGCATCCCATTACATAATTGTGATTTTTTTTTTTGTAATGAGAACATTTAAGATCTACTCTCTTAGTAACTTTAATATAATACAGTACTATTAGCTATAATTACCCTGCTGTATATTAGATTCCCAGAACTTATTAATCTTAAAATTGGAAGTTTATACTTTTTGACCAATATCTTCTCTCTTCTACCTCCAGTCTCTGGTAATCACCATTCTGTTCTCTGTTCCTATGAGCTGGGCTTTTCTAAGATTCCACACATGAGATCATGCAGTATTTGTCTTTGACTTATTTCACTTAGCATAATGCCCTCTAGTTGCATCCGTATTGTTATAAACAGCAGGATGCAGGATGTTTTCAGGTCGTGTTTTAATCGACTCAATAGGTACTGTTTTGAAAAGGGTCTCCCCTCACCCGCAAATTTAACAGTGGCTTGAGAATCAGCCAATGGGTGTGGGCGACCTGGTGTACCCATTTGTGTTGATGTTTTGACCCCTTCTCACAGGTGGGCCAGAGGTATTTCGTGGTTGGGTGAATGCCATGAGGAGTCTGACTTGCTCCTTGAATAATTTATTTTTCAGAACAAGAGAGGGTCACTTCTGTGTGTCAATTTTTCTGTGTTTAGATGAGGAAGACCCCAAATTTTCTGAAAATGTGGTCAGTGTTGTGAACAGAAACTTGAATGTTACTTGCAGTTAATGAACCGTGTTTTAAAGATTGATCTGCCCCAACTGTTTATGGAGATAATTTCCTTCTCCATTGGTAGAATTTTGGGTCTTAGCTTTTTTTTCTTTTAATTACATTTTGTTTCTTAGCCAGCTATGTTTCATAAATTACAAAAAAAAAAAAAAGCTTAATGTTCTTTCTGTTAATGTAATTAGTGGTCCTAATTGAGGGATTAGAACTGGATCTGTATTTTGTGTTTCCAGAAACGTTTCTAAGTCAGAATCACATGTCACACATCCCCCCTCCCCAGTGAAATTGGACAAATTAAGTGCGTTTTCTTTTCTCCTTTATCTCCTGCCAGTTTTTGATTGGATATTTCCCTTCTGCCAGATGCAATCTGCTTTTCTCTTCTGGCTTTCCTCTGAACTTTTTTGGTTTTATAAGTTGAAAAAAATAACCTCCCACATCACCCCGCTCAGGTTTTGTGACCAGCTAATTATTCCTCAAGTCTGAACTTGATTTGGCTGCTACTGTCTAAGATAAAAAATTGGGGCAGCTTCTTCAAGTTGAACTTGGTGTGGTTTTCACAACGCTTTTTCTTATTTAAGATTTGGCTCCAGATGAAGGTGAACTTTTACATTCTGGACCAATTAATAAATTTATTGGCACCAAAACACTTTGTGCCATTTGTGAGGGGGCAGCAAGCTGCCTTACTTTTTATATCAGAGCATTTGAAAAAAAGTGGGATTTTTGTTTTTTTATTATCCACTCTTCCCCAAAAACAAGTGTTTTAAGGACGACTCAGGCAATCTTCTCTCTTGACCGGTGGACGAAATTGAGGCTCAGAGGGTTGGGTATTGCTAAGGATCTCCCAGCAAATCCAGGCTGAGAAGCCACAGACACAAATGATGATGATGATGATAAAAATCTAAGGATTAAGTATTCGATATAAAACTAAGCGTATTTATAATAAACTTCCCTTTTCCAAAGCCTTAGTTGTAATGGATGAAGATGCAGAAGGGAACCATGGGCTCAGCTGTAGCAGGTGCACCAGCCTGAGACTCAGAAGGCCTGGCCTGTTTTGAGCCTGCCTGCCTCTGACAGAGCCCTCATCCAGCTGTCATAAGTCCTCTTTGGAATGAGGCAGGGAAATCAATAAATGTAATCACTTAACCGTCCTTGAATTTCAATTTCCTTACCTATAAATCAAAACCTCTCCGGGAAGGGGCGGAGAATCATATGCCAGCTTGTGGGTGTAAGTCACAGTCCATTTAATGGCATTGCTGACCTCGTGGTGATGCATAAGATGGGGTGACGAACACCCACACACTTAGGCTGTCACATAGCAGTCTTATCAGAGTAAAATCTAATAAAACAATACGGTCACTAGATCAATAGTTGATTGGGTTCATCCCAAATACTGCATTTAGTGCTTGCCTGTGGTTGTCCAGAGACTGCATTTAGGAGGACTGTGTGACCACATCCACGCTCAGCACATAATGTGGGATTGATTAGTTATGTCTGCTGGGGGTGCAGGATCAGCAGGCCTTTGTTTATGCTACACATTTGCCACCTGTGGACTATACAGATGCAGAATATTTTAAGAGGCAGGAGCATGAGGTCATTTTGACTTGTTAATGCTAAAACTCTTTGTAGGCCTGACCTTGACCACACCCAGTTTCCTCACGTGTCATGACATTGTGGTGGGCAAGAAGTTGTTTTGTTTTATAGTCTTAGAACAAGATGGAGCTTGACTCTCAGTAATTCTCTGGAATTGAGACTGTAGCATGTGCTCCAAATCTATCACATCACAAGCCATTGCAAATCATTTGTTTTTGGTATAGTCATTGATCCCCCCAATTCTTTACCCTCCTTCTGAGGGCCAGAATTCTGGGGCTGGTATTAAAAATGACATATTGGGTTTATTTCTAGACCATTCAGGGGATCTGCTGGAATGGCTTGCCTCCAGTTACCCCCTGGAGGTAACTTCCTGTTTTGTGGACCTGCAATGGATTGACATCTGTGGCCCCTCTGGCCCTGCCCCTCACTTCTAGAGGCTAATGGGTGTGAAAAGCCAAGGTTATGAAAACCTCTGTGAGAAACTTAATGATTCACATTTTGTCTCTTTAACACGGAAGAAATTGTGTGATGGTGGTGCACACACCTGGCCCCAACATGTGGGTTGATTCCAAGGTCAAAATTTATCGCATGTGATTTTCCTCTCTCACTTCTTTTCTTTTCTTTTCTTTTCTTTTCTTTTCTTTTCTTTTCTTTTCTTTTCTTTTCTTTTCTTTTCTTTTCTTTTCTTTTCTCTTTTCTTCTTTCTTTTCTTTTTTTTCCCCCTTCAAAGGTTCAGTCATTTGGGGAGAGGATTGTGCTTTTCATTCTGAACGTCGTTATTTTTGGAAGATTGGAGAGAAATTTGGATGATGGTGACATGTTTTTTTTACCTCACTCTGTGAAGGAGCAAGCAAAAATTCTGTGGCAGGATGGAGCAGCCGTTGGATTTTACACAACCAAAAGGAAAGGTAAGGGGCACAGGGCCCTGGGTGGGTGGGGTGGCTGGGGGGGGGGCTCTCTAGATGTCTACCTGCCTCCAAGGACTCCCTCAGCACAAATGTTCCTTGGAGAGAACCTTCTGGCACAGGAAGTATCACTAATTCAGTTGCCCTGTAAATAAGCCCGAGTAAACCCAATTTATGGATTTCATTTTCTCATTTCTCATTTTACTGGTAAATAGAATGAAAAGCGTGTCCTTTGGATTCCCAGCCAGTGCCATGTCCCTCATAACATGCTTATTGCTGCTAATGGTGTAAAATGACTCTGCAAAGCACAATACTCTTCATTGCTTTTCCTTAATGTTACCAATTAGCTGTCAGGAAAAATACTATTGCTAATAGCTGACATGTGGTGCAAAAGCACACTGGATGCCAAAGTTTATAGACGTTACCTCAGAACAGGGGGAGCTTGGCCATCATAATAAGGTCGGGGTAAAATACTGGGACCTATTTTAGGAGCTGTGATGAGAAGTGAGTGTGATACTGGGACCATTTTGCTTTGGGGATTGGTCTCTTTCTTTAAAGTCACTTTCTTTAATACCTTCTTGAGTTTTTAAAGGCTGTCAACATCTCTACTCCCAGTAGAGATGTCGTCCCAGCCCTGTCCTTTTAGTTCTTATTAAGTCCTAAATTTTAGGGATGTCTGGGTGGCTCAGTGGTTGAGCATCTGCCTTTGGCTCAGGTCGTGATCCTGGGGTCCTGGGATTGAGTCCCACATTAAGCTCCCCGCAGGAAGCCTGCTTCTCCCTCTGCCTGTCTCTGCCTCTCTCTGTGTCTCTCTTGAATAAATAAATGAATTCTAAAAAAAAAAAAAGTTCTAAATTTTAGCAAGAATAAAGTTTCCCAGTGAACCACCATGGACGTGCTGTTCTTTGGGGTTAGGTGTTTTTCCCAGGGGGATCGAAAGGCTGATTGTGGTGTTGAACTTCGTTTACACTTCGTGTTTGCTCCACCTGTTCAGGATGGAGTAAATTCATTTTTCTCCCTTGCAGTGTGAAACAACCAGTCTCCCATGCAAACAACTCCATTAGTTACATGTTAAGGTCCGTCCAGACATGTAAGTGGAAAGGTTGGTTGTGGCTGCTTTGTTCTTCCCAAGGCTGACCCAGACCTCAGAGTGGAAGGAGGACCCTAAGATGTTGAGATGAGGCAGGTCAGCCTCAGTGTTTAGGTTTCTGCGTCCTCTTCATTTTTGAATTCCATGAACTTGGTGGAAAGTTCTTTGAAGCTGCTTATGGGGTCCCATCATTACATCTATGAACTGATTTTTTTTTTTGAACTGATTTTTTTACGTGGCTATTGACTTTTATTTACTCAACACTTTATGTTGTTTAAGAAGTACCAAACCAGGGCAGCCCGGGTGGCTCAGCAGTTTGGCGCCACCTTCAGCCCAGGGTCTAATCCTGGAGACCCAGGATCTAGTCCCAGGTCAGGCTCCCTGTGGGGAGCCTGCTTCTCCCTCTCCCTGTGTCTCTGCCTCTCTCTGTCTCTGTCTCTGTGTCTCTCATGAATAAATAAATAACATCTTAAAAAAAAAAAAGAAGTACCAAACCAGTATAAGATTAAATAAAGAAAATAAAATATATGCTTCAATATATATACATTGCCAATTAAAACTTTTTTTTGCCTTTTGTTAGATTAACTTATTTTTGGGGAGATAGAATAAAAATATTTCTGTTAGAATAAATACATACATGTTGCCACTAGCAATGTATAAGAGCTCCAGCCACTCCACATCCTTGCCAATACTCGGTTTTGTCAGTCTTTTTAATTTTACCTATTCTACTAGGTGGGAAGTAGCATTTAAGTTTGGTTTTAATTTGCATTTCCCTAATCGTAAACGATACTTATTATGTCTTCATGTGCTTTGTTGATGGTCACGTATCTTCTTTAAGTGTCTGTTAAATATTTTAGCCCATATTTTATTGGGTTGTTTGCTTGTTGCAGTTTCTTCATATGTTATAGATGTCAGTTCTTTATCAGATATGTATTTGGAAAACATTTTCATTTTGGTACAATAGTATTTTTCAGAGAGCAGACATTTGAAATTTTGATGAAGTCTATTTTATCAGTTTACCAATTTTTATTATTATTCAAGTGAAAATATCTGCTAATTTGTGATTTTTATGAGTTCTTTAAAGTGAGTTTTAAATTTCCAGATATTCCAGATGTTTTATTTATTTATTTTTTGATTTCTAACTTAATTCTGTTGCAGTAAGAGAATGTAGTCTATTACATTTTAATATTTTAAGAACTATTGAGAACTGTTTAATGATCCAGTATATTGTTTGTATCGGTCGATGTTCCCTGTGGACTTGAAGGAATGTGTATGTTTCGTAAGGTATTGGGTTTCGTGTTCTGGAAATATTAGTTGGATGAAAGTAGTTAATAATGTTATTCAGATTTTCTACATTCTTACTGATATTTTTGTCTAGTTCTATCAATTTCTGGGGGTTTATTAAAGTCTTTATGATTGTAGATTCATCTCTCTCTCATTTTAGTTCTGTTAGTTTTTACCTTATGTGTTTTAAGGCTTTGTTATCAGTGACATCTATATTTATAATGGTTTTACCTACGTGATATATTGGCCATTTTATCGTTATGAAGTCCCAAATTATCTTCAGTAATATTTCTTGTTATGAAGTCTTTTTTATTTGATATTAATAGACACTTCATCTTTCTTATGCCTATTGTTTGCATGGAATATATTCTTTGTAGCTTTTTATTTTTAGTCTGTTTATGTCTTTATTATTTGAAGCATATATTTTGTTGACAGCATACAATTGGATCTTGGATTTTAAACCTTGTCGTTTGAATGGAGTGTTAGTCCATTTACGTTTAATTTTTGATGTGTTTATACTGAAGTCTCCCCCCCCCTTTTTTTAAGATTTTATTTATTTATTCATGAGAGACACAGAGAGAAGGCAGAGACATAGGCAGAAGGAGAAGCAGGCTCCTCACAGGGAGCCCAAAGTGGAACTCAATCCCGGAACTCCAGGATCATGCTCTGAGCTGATGGCAGATGCTCAACTGCTGAGCCACCCAGGAATCCCGAGGTCTTCCCTTTTGTAGTTTGTTTTGTGTCTTCTGTTTTTTTGTTCCTCTGTTCCTCATTTATGTTTTCTTTTATTTTAATCAGATATATTTTAGTATTTCACTTTAATTTCTCTATTGGCTTTCTAGTTCTATATTTTTGCATTTTTAAATTGTTAGTTATTGCTCCAGGAATCACATATGCATCTTAAACTTTTTCCAATTTACTTATAATTACTATGGAATTACTTCAGATAAAATATAGAAGTCTTGCAACAGTGTATTTGTATTTACCCCTCATTTTATTTACATAGTGCTCTTATTATAGATTAGATCCATTTATGCTATAGATCTATTAATGTTGATTTATAATTTTTAATTTAATAGTCATCTTTTAGAGGTATTAAAATAAAAAATATCGTTAAAATCTTGACTCAAATACTCACCTTTTGAATAAATTTTAATTTTTTAATTTAATCCCACTTGCCACCCAGTGTCGTTTTTCTCTCAGGCTAAAGTACTTCCCTTGGAATTTGCTGTAGTGCAGTTTTGGTGGCAACAAATATCTCAGTTTTTATTTACTGAAAATATATTTTATTTCACAGTCATATTTGAAGGATAGGTTAACTGGATATAGAATTATTACTGATAGTTCCCCCCCATACCCTCAGTGCTTTGAATATGTTTTTCCAGTCTTCTTGCTTTCATGATTTCTGCTGAGAAGTCAACCAGTTATTTATTGTTATTCCCTCATACATAACACATAGGTTTCTTTTATTGCTTTAAAAAATTTCCCTTGAACTTTAGTTTTTCGTTGTAATTTGAGTGTAGTGTGTCTAGGAATGATTTTATTTTTGTTTATCTTTCTTGGGGTTTGGTAAGCTTCTTGAATCTTCAATGTTTTCTACCATATTTTGATACTTTTTGGCCATTATTTCTTCAATTTTTAAAAAATCCTGCTTTCAGAATGCCTTGGTGACTCAGTGGTTGAGCATCTGCCTTCAGCTCGCGGCATGATCCTGGGACTCAGTGATAGAGTCCCACATCGGGCTTCCTGCGAGGAACCTGCTTCTCTCTCTGCCTATGTCTCTGCCTCTCTCTCTCTGTGTGTCTTTCATGAATAAATAAAATAAAAAAAAATTCCTGCTTTCATTGTTCTTTTCCTGGGATTCCAGTTAGTTGTATGTATGTTGGAGTGCTTCATAATGTCTTAAGTTTTGTCTCGGTGGTTTTGTTCATTTTTCTTCAAACATTTTTCTTTCTTTGTTGGGTGATTTCTACTGGTATAGAGTCAAGTTCATCTGCCATCTCCAATCTGTTGTTGAGACCACTGAAAATTTTAGTAAATGTACTTTTTAGCTCTGGAATTTATATTATTTTGTGTAGTTGCTATTTCTCTGTTGAGATTTTCTATATATTTCCCTCTAATTTTTTGAATTATTTTATTGCTTTGAATGTATTTGTAAAGCCATTTTAAGGCCTTTACAAAATCCAACATCTCAGTCTACTTAAAATCAGTTATATTAACTACCTTTTTTTCCCCCTGAGTATGGGTCACACTTTCCTGGGTTTTGTGTGTGTGTGTGTGTGTGTGTGTGTGTGTGTTGAGCAGAGATAGTGTAACAACTCTAGTTTTTGTGTGTGTATGTTTTCTGAGGATTTTTAGATTTTTGATCTAGTAGCTGTTCAACTTGCCTGGATTAAAATAACGATTGTCTCCTTTGTGATATGTAGCTACTTGACATCTGTGTGTGACTTCCCACGACTCCTTTTTAGCTTGGCCCTAGAAAGGTCCTCCCTGTGCCTGCAGATTTGGTGGTCAGACAAAGATTTGGGTGTGGATTTCCTGAGGGTTTTTGTTTGTTTACTGTTTATTGTTGTTTTTTGTTTTTATTTTGGTTTTTCTCCTGCTGGTTTGGGGTTCTGTACTTTCACAT